GCGGGCTTCCGTACCTGCAGGTCGCAGTCCAGCTCCGCCTGCAGGACAGACTGCGCCAGGGCCTGGGGCTGTGGGCACAGCAGGGACGGTCGGAAAGGGTCACTGGGGAAGCCGTCGTGTGGAGCCTGGGGAGGCAGGGAGGAGGGGTGGTGTCAGAGACCAGCCCAAGCCCGCTTCCAGCAGCAGCCAGGGGAGCCGGGCCGGTGCCGCGGCAGGGCTGGCTCTTTCTGGGGAGACCACAGGCGCAAGTTAGGAGGTGCAGGACAGCAGCGGGGGTGATGAGAAGTAAGCAGCCACCGGGCAGACTGGACCCCCACTCCCAACACAGAGGCCCTGCGCCAGGCGGAGGGGCTCACCTCCAGCCCGCTGAGGTCTGAGCTCCTGGGCCGAGGCTGCCGGGCGGGCAGGGGCCGGGCGGGCAGCTGTGAACTGCGATGCTCCCTGAGACGCTCGAGCAGGAGGTAGTAGATGGCGGCGAAGTGGTTGTAGCTGCTGTTCTGCAGAGACTGGGGACGTAGGCGTGGGGTGAGCGCGGCCGCCTCCCTCTGCGGGGCCACCGAGGCTCCCCTTCGAGGCTGCTCCGCGTTATTCCTGGGCAGCCGTCAGGAGCGGACAGGCCGGCCCTTAAATGAGCCACTCCCCCAGTGGCCACGGGTGGGGTGCGGGGTGAGGCGGTCAGGACAGGGGGCGGCCCAGCCCGCTCACCTCCACCGTCCTCTGCCGGTCGATGCCCAGGGCCTGCATGATGCCCAGCGCCTGCTCGTTGTAGTCGCCCAGGTTGGAGGAGTAGGCCTGCGTGGAGAGGGCAGGGCCAGGCCGCGGGGCTAGCGTGGGGTCCGCCTGCATCCAGCGGTGCTGGCGGATCTGGGCGATGGAGATGCGTTTGGTGGGGTCCACCGCCAGCATGCGGCGGATCAGCGTCTCACAGTCTGCAGGACACACAGGAGTTCTGGGGTGGCCGCCCTGCAGGCACCTTGTGCCCCCCACCAGGTGAGGCCCCAAGGAAGTCTGGGCTGCGAGCAGCCGTGGTGCCCGCCGTAGGTCCAGGCCCAGGGACGTGCTGGGCAGGGCCCTCGGGCCCCGATGCGGACGTGCCCATGCGCAGGCGCCTGGGCAATGAGCGAGGGCGGTGCTCCCGCCTGCTAGGTGAGGCACGGGAAAGCATCGGTGGTCAGGTTTCTCTGGCAGCCCAGTCATCTGGGCCCAGTTCCCAACAGCAGATGGGAGACGAGCCCCTTCCCCCCAAGCCACGCCCCTGCTGGCCGGCTGGGCTCACTCACCTTGAGACATGAAGAAGGGGATTCGGAAGCGACCCTCCAGCACCCGCTGTCTCAGCGTTGGCAGGTTGGGCCCATCAAAAGGAAGAGAGCCACACACCAGGACATACAGCACAACGCCGAGGCTCTGGGAAGAGGAAGCGGCCGGGTCAGGGCCTGGCAGGCCACGGGACCTCCCCCGGGGAAGCGGGGTCCACACATGGGCACCTACCCAGATGTCCAGCTGGGGGCCTTCATACTCTTTTCCCTCAAAGACTTCGGGGGCTGCGTATGGGGGACTCCCACACCATGTGGACAGGGGCTCTCCAGGATTGTAGAAATTCCCAAACCCAAAATCTGAAAGGCAAAGAAATCATGTCACTAGCCCGGAGACGGCTCCGGCGTGAGGTGGGCCGGCCCGGCTCTCGCTGCCCGCCCCGCTCGGCCCCGCCCCTTACCTGCCAGCTTGATGTCCATGTTGCCATCCAGCAGCAGGTTCTCTGTCTTGAGGTCCCGGTGCACAATGTGGTGGTCATGGCAGTACTCCACGGCAGACAGAATCTGCCAGAACTTCTTGCGTGCCTCGTTCTCACTGAGGTGTCCATTGGAAGTCAGATAATCTGGGGAGACGCAAAGCAACGCTCTACCCCACGATTCAGAGTGTGCCCGCAGCGGAACGCTGGGTGAGTGGCGCGTAGGCCCAACATCGGGAGGGCAGCTTCGACAGGCAGGAAAGCAAGCGTTGCTTACCGAACATCTCTCCGTTTTTTGCAAACTCAGTGACAATATAAAGCATATCCTTCGTCTCCATAACCTACAAAAACAAAACAAAACAAAAACCAGACCTGACATTTAGCCCTATGAGAAAGGAACCAACTGCAGGAGGACTAACTCCTTGTGAACCCCAGTAAACCTTTTAACTTCCCCAGGACAAGTCCACTCATCATTAAGGGGGAACAGGAAAAATAAAAAATAAAGCTTATATACTGAAGATACAAATAAGAAAATTCTTGCTCAGAGAGAGCAAGCAACTTCAAGACTCAGCCACGCGGGCTGCGGGCTGCGGGCTGAGCTCAGCGGCTCTGGCTGGGCTCTGGCCCAGGCCAGCTCACACCCCCGGGGCTCTGTGGGAGATGGCCTCTCTGGAATCCTGTCCACCTTCTTCCAAAGGCCTAGCAGGCAACAGGTTGTTTAAGCCAATGGCCAGAACAATCAATGGCCCGTTCCCATGCACTGCCAAATGCGTTGGCATGAGAACTGGGCTTTGCTAGGTAAGCTATAGGGACTTGAAATCCTCAGCATCTGTCTGTGTCAACACACACCTTAAAAGTTTACTCACTGACGAAGAATTCTGTACTCCCTTCAAACAAAAGGACTTCAAACCTCATTAAGAAACAAGATAGAACTCAAGTCTTTAGTACTGGAAATAAAACAATCTTGTGTCTTTATATTATAAAATATTTCAGAACTAGAGAGGTAATATTCTTATGGGGAAAAATAATATAGCTATTCTTTTAAAAAGACACTCTTAGGGGCTGGGAAGGTGGCTCAGTGGTAGAGTGCTTGCCTTGCATGCTTGAGGCCCTGGGTTCAATTCCTCAGCACCACATAAGCAAAAAGAAAAAAGC